TTGCTGATGCTGTTGTTGCTGCTGCTGCTGCTGCTGTCGCTGAGCAACAGCAACACCAAAAAGGGGGCGGCCGCAGCTGCAGTTGTCGCCATGTCGATGCCTCGTCTAAGTGAAGTGGCTGAAGAGCCGGAGCATCAGCCTGCCAAAGACGTTCAGGGGCTGTAGGAGTAAAGACGACGTGGCGGACTAGTGCTTCCTCTGTCTACTCTTCCTACTGCTGCTACTGCTCCTGCTATCCCACTGCTGCTGCTTCTATACTGGTACCAGCAAAGAATCAACAACTTCGAAACGATCAGAAACTCCGAGCTCCTCGGAGTGAGGAATACCTTCACCCTCCAAAACCTACCCTTCTTCGGACATAGATAGGGAAACTCGAAGGTAGGCTTTTGGTGGTCCGGGCTGTTCGGAAGGCTCCCGTTTTCACTCAGGAGCCGGCCGAGAGTTGCCGCCGCTGCTCAAGGAGCCCTGGACATCATTCGGGCTGGAAAAACAAAGGCTTATACAGTTTACTAGGGTTCAAAGCTCAGGTTATCGGGCTTAAAACAAAAAGGCTTCTATGGGGATTTGACATGACAAGGGCTGTATAAAGGGGCTAGGGTTTAAGTTAAGGAGGTTTAGGATGGAGGGTCTTAGGATCGAGGATCTTCGCGGGGTTTGCGATTTGTTTCCGAGGGCTTCAGGCTTAAAGCTTCAGCGCTTCTAGGGATAAAGGAAGCTACCCCTCGATGGCCTTGTTTGAGAACGGAGCACTACAGTTCATGCAGGGTCCAGGGTGTAGGGTTCAGGGTCTGAGTTCAGAGCTCAGGGCCCTCGGCCCTCGCATGCAAGGCTGTTTAGCTTAAGAGAGTCCTGCAAGATTCTGTTTGTGGGTTGGAATCGGCTCAAGGGTTTAGGGCGCAGGATGCAGTTGAGGTGTCTTTCTCCTGACAAAGTCTCGACTTGAGCAATGCCGCAGCCTACGAACCGCAAAGAGCTCTTTCTATTCGGGGAGCTCTTTTAGTTAAAGTTTCCCTGGTAAGGATCCAACTACTTCGGGCTCTATATGAGGGTCATACATTTCCGGAATTCTGTGAAGAGCAGCTGAGGTTTGCGCATTCACACACCATAGAACCTCTAACGGCTTCTTGTCATCGACATCAATATCAGTTACCAAAGAAAAAAATTACACAGCGAATAACATGTTGTCTTCAAGATGGTAGCTTATGTCAAATACCCTAATACGTTATCAAACTTCCATAGCACCCTGTGAAAAGCTCGTCATTGAAAATACTTAAAGCAATAAACGCTCATGAAAGAAAAGTCAAAAGCTTTACAATGAGCCTTCAAAGGAACCCTGAAGGGCTCCCTCACCTCTTCGACATGGCAGCGACTTGCCAGCCAGCAACGCAAGTCCTGAGCAGTCTTTTAAGGTGCAGGGTCGTGTATGAGGTTCCATAGGGGTGTTTAAAGGTTTTGGAGCGGTTTCGGGGAATATGTCAGATTTGAGCTTCGCAGTGCGCACGGAAATCAGCACCCGGCCTCACAGCTTGCGACGCTCCATTTTAAAACTCGGCACGTGCCATGCTACGTCGACAGGCTGTCAGCCCCTCAGTAGTGGTCCTGCCAACTACCTGGGAGTCTCAGAAGATGAAGATGGGGATCCCGAATATGGACCTGAAATAACAGTAACAGGATCCTTGTAAAAACGGACCCTGGCTAAGCTCCTCCTGATTTGGAGAACCTTGTATGAAACCCAACAAGCATCTGACAAACCGGAATAAGACATGGAAAACCCAACCACCCAGCGTCAAGAAGCAACCTTCTCACAGGAAGGGGCCCTGGACCCAGTTCTGCTCAGTTGCATTTTCAAGCTACAAAACTCATGGCCAATCGTTCGAGCTCATCCAGCTCCCTCTCTCGTCTCAGGAGCTTCTCCTCAACACAACCGTGGACAACAGTTTAGGAGGGTTTACGGTTTAGGGTTTAGGGTTAAGGGTGTGGGGGCCCTACGGTACTAGTGCCAACACCCTGCTAGGAACATTTGTAGACCCCATCATAGGAGCAGGAACGCTTGTCCCTTACAAGAACCCTGCCGTATAGTACCCTTATGGTAACCTGATAGAACCCTTTAAAGGAAGGGCACCCAAAAACCCCTATAGATCCCACTATAGGAACCGTTGTCGAGGAACCTCAATAGATCCGTCTTGAAGAAGCCAAAACCCCACCTAGAACCTAAACCCAAAACCCTAAACCCTAAACCCAAAACCCCAAACCCTAACCTCCCCCCCCCTGCTTGGGAGAAGTGCCCTCAGCGGGTTCAGCGAGCCGGGCCTGCCAAGCGAGCAGCTGCTGCGCGTCCAACGCTCTTGCCTGGAGGTTGCGGGGTCTTAGTGGCTTTCTTTGGGGTTCTTTTTTGTGGATTTTGGGGGCTTAAAGTGTACGGTTTAGGGGTGAGGGCTGTAAGGGCCTCTTTTTTTGAGGCTTCAAGGGTAGGAAGGAACCAAGCGACCATAGTTCGAATTGAGCAGCTCACAGGGTCGCGCGGGCTTTCGTAAGGGCCTCATAGAAGTCTCATAAATCGTGCTAGGGTCCAATAGGGTTCTATAGGGTAAAATAATGGTTTCACCAGGTTCAATGTTCCTGAATTTGGTGAACAAATTAGGACTTCAGCAGCGTAGGATCAAGGCTAAAGGGTTTAGGTGTTTCAGAGGTGTTTCCGTGATCCGAAAAACTCGGAGTTCACAAAGCCAATTTTGAGACCAGTGGCGAAAGGACTGCGACTTCTTTCGTGGCAAGCTTGCCGTTCTGGTTCTGCGTGGTGCCAGGCGCGTAAGCCGCGTCCACGGCAGTCAACTCGGAAATTGCGATGGATCATTGACACTATTACCGCTTCCATCCTCTAAATTCCTACCCTAAACGCACAAGCCCTAAACCTTGCAGCGACCTTTACAGCCACCCTCAAAGGGACCGCTGTAGCAATCGATTATAGAATAGCCAAGGCCGTTAGCTGCAAACCGGGCGCGTTCGGAGTTGTCAGATGCCCTGCTGTCCGAGTCCTCATCGCGACTGGGTGGAATGAGAGCTGCTTTGTCCTGGCGAGGTTTTCGAAGACACAGAACCCTAACCCATGGCCGATCCCTAAACCCTTGAACTCCAAACCGCTGCATAATATTTGCAATATTTGTTAAAACCTGTGCAACAGACTCTGGCAAAAGCACGCGATGATTGGAGGCGGAAAAGCCGGACGACGGCTCCAAAACGCACGCCGGGCTGTGGAGGCGGCGGAGACCACAGTGACTACACGAAGCAGGCCCAGGAGGCGAAGGAAGCTGCCCTCATCGGACTTAAAGGACTTCTAGCGATTTCAGGTCCACAACACGGGACTGTGGCAGGGCTAAGAATTCCACGTCCCAAATAGGCACATGAAGTTCAGAAAAAGGCCAGTGAACTCGACCACCTCCCCTGCGGATGCGGCACGCGCGCGAGACAGCAAAACGTGCACCATATCACAACAATCAAACTATAGTGTCACCAAGCTGTTTGGGGAAAGAACTCGTACAAAAACCGTTTCCCGACCTTGGGCCTCGAATTCCTTGGCCTTCGTCGGGCCTGCCTCGAGCCGAAACCCGTTGGGGGCAGCCTCGTCCCAGTGAGCCGCGTCCTGGGTTCTGTAAGGTTTGGCCTAACACTGTGCTCTTTGAGGCTTGGGGTTTGTTAAGACACTTGAGGTTTGTAAAAGGGCTTTACAAGTCACTATGAACGGAATATGAGTTGCCATAAAAGGGACACATCGTATCTACAACCAACCCTACTCTATTCTTCGTCCAAGAACCCCAGTAAAACCTCTCGCAAAGCTGCTAGATAATCACATCTATATATATATTATATATATATATATACATACAGACAGATGTGTGTATATGTGTGTGTACGAAAAAGCTTTACAAAAACTTCAAATAGCCCTATGTTCCTCAGGAGCAACCAAGCATCTTGTTCGAGAAAGTGCGGAAGGTGAAGCTTTCGCCTCAGAACAGGTGTTGTGCCAGTGGGCTTTTGTTTTATGCGGGGTTTCACGGGTTGCGCAAAGGGGTTATATAAGGGGGTTGGGCTTCAATACGCTTGAATTTAGTGTTCTTTAATTCGGAATGTCGTAAGGGGTTTAGGGCCTATGGTGCCAGCACACATCCAGAGATCCTGCTTCTGTTGCGACGGACAAAAGCATCGTGTTTGGGTGTGCAGCCTTGCTATGCTCCGTGCCTCCAGTAGCATTCCTTCGTGCCGCACCTCGCAGCAATTTTGGCGGCAGAAGGAATATGCTTCGTAGAAGTCTCGCTGCAAACCTTTATCACGACTCTAAAACCCAAACATTGTACCCTCGCCGGTGCACCCAGCTTACTACGCCTAGGTGGCTGATAACATCTGCAAAAAACTTAGGATCTAAAACTTGATCGGCGGATTGAGACCGATCCGACAGGGTTTGAGCAAAGAGACAGGCACACAAGGACAAGCTGCAAACGAACTTGCATGCCCCGAAGCCCGAACCAAACGCTGAAGCCCGTTCCCCAAGGCCGCTCCAAACAAGTTCAAGGGGTCTTTGTTCCGCCTGCCGCCGTGGAAGCCGCAGGCGTTAAAGTGTTTTTCGAAGTCAGCTAAAACCTCGGGAGCGGGAGTTTGCAAGGGCTTCAAAAGGGGTTTCCATGGCTTTTCTTGAGCTAGGCTGCTTGGCTTCATGGTTGAGGGTTCTTGTGAGTGGTTGCTTGGCATGCCAGTCAGTAAGTCAGGCAGTCTGCCGGTCTCAGTCAGCTAGCTGGCATGCTTTTTCACTTCTCGTTGTGCTCTCCGCTTGGCTGTTTGGTTCGTGCTAGCATTGCTGATCATGAAGCCTTCGTATTTGCAGAATATTCACGTGTTTGAACTTTTCTTCGTCCCTGGGATGCGACGGAACAAAGACTCCAGAACTGAAAGCTCTGGCTGGATGATGACTGTCTCACGAGGGGTGATCATGGCGAAACTCCTTCATGCAGCACTTCAGCTGCACGTTCTCCGAGTCTATTTCCATGCCGCTGGTTTTCGGCCACCTCTACGATCCTGAAAGAAACACCGAGCACCGCCAACACGCGCAGCACAGGTCCGCTACGGACATCCCACGAAAATACGCTAACCTTCCGACTGGGTCAGGGGTTCGGGGCTTGAAGCGGGGCGGATTCATCACGCGGAAAAACACAAATCTGCGTCAGGGAGCATTCCTTTTTCCGGAATCGCTGAACACCCAAACGCACACAAGAACCGCCAGAATAACATTGTCAGGAACCCTTACAGAAATCCGAAATTTAACCTTTCTTCAAGGAACCCTAATACTACCGCCTCACAGGAAGCCGTAAAGCAGCCCTTCCTAACCCTTATGCGAGACCTTAGCGAGAAATCCCGGCCTTCTCTGGCTTTTCGATTGCATTGTGCTCCAGCCTCGGATTCGCCAAGATCGTGTGGTGATGGGTGATGGACTTCGGAGGTTTGTGTCTGTCTGCGAGAGTCTGGCCTCAAAAATTTCACAACTTGATTGTAGCTAGCAAAGACTCAGAACCTACATGTACTAGCTAAAGCTGCAGTGGCTCATATTGTAGTTTTTGGTGCTCATGCTCACTATCATCAAAACAATGTGGCATGCCTCATGAGCCCGAAGCTGTTTTCACGTGACTTGATCATTGCTGCATTGTGCGTCATTTTTCACACTGGCAGCAGCAAGGGTGGGGGCGGCAGGAGTAGTAGTCGTCGTCGTCGCCGTCGTCCTCCATGGTCGTCTTCGTCGTCGTCATCGTGGTGGTGATGTTAGTAGTAGTAGTAGTAGTAGTAGTAGCAGTAGTAGTAGTAGTAGTAGTAGTAGTAGTAGTAGTAGTACGGTAGATGATAAAAAAATCCTGCATTACCCATAATAAGGAATATACCATAATTCCCATAGTTTAGGGTCCTTAAGGTAATGCAGGATTTATATCATCAACAGTAGTAGTAGAGTTCAGGGTGTAGGGGTTTAGGGTCTAGGGTTTAGGGTAGCAGTAGCAGTAGTAGTAGCAGTAGTAATAGCAGAAGTAGTAGGCAGTAGCAGCAGTAGCAGTAGGTGCAGTGCAGTAGTAGAAGCAGCGGTGGCAGCAGCAGTACTCGCGGTAGCACGAGCACACATTTGGTGCGACCGGGTTATACACGTTTACTAGTTCATTGTGAAGCATCGCTTTCGTTCAGGTTACACCAAAAATCAATACCAAACAGACTCTGCCTGCTGCAGCTAGCATTGAAGGTGCCGCATGGAAACCCACGAACCCACCAAGCCACAAAGTGGAATACCACATGCTTGACCGCAAAACTCATGCAATGAACATATGTGGTCGTGATGGCAACGGTACAATTGCGACTGCTAGCAACAGTATGGGCAATAATAAATTCTGTTGGCACTAGCACGAGCAATGTTTGCACCAAAATGGCAATAGCAACCATGAAAAGAAAGAAATCACATGCACCACACGAACAACTAACCGCGCACGTCGTAAACGTCGGTATGATCAAAGCGATGATGCCAGTACCAAAGGCTGAACACATCCGTCCGACTGTCCGTGGCTCAAGAAAGGTCTATTGAACTTTAGAACCAAGAAATCAATCAGTCACCGAGTGACCGCTTTGGGAAAACCCTCTTTGGCGAGCAGTTACAGAATTCGCTATCGTACCCCTGCCAAACTGTAATATACCCGCCGCCAAGCCCTGGAATATTGGAATTGATAGTGTCACTTGCTTCACAAGGACGCTGGAGCCTGGTTACCCCCAAGGGGCGTGCGAACTCAGGCGCAAAGAGTCTGCATTCACCTGCACTCTGGGGCTTTAGGTTTAGGGTTTAGGGTTTTGGCACAAGTCAGCGCCACAGGATGTGGGCAGAGGGGCACGCAATACGGGGTGTTCCGTTGCTAAGAACTCAACATGATCATCATCGGGCATGTAGGATTTAGGGTCGTAGGTCTTGTTCCTTTGAATCAGTCAAGTTGCTTTTGCTTCAGAGCCTTCAGAAAAGAAACCACGTCCCAGTGTAGACTGTCTAGATACCATACATCGTATAGAATGTCCCAGACAATGTACCTCACATCCAAGGACCTGAGCGGATAAAATGGGGATCTGCTAAGTAATTGAATCATACTAAATCCTATCGAGGGTCTGGGAAGCGCTATTGAACTGACAGCCTGGGGGGTGTTCGGGGAATGAGGGGTGCATTGAGGATTCGGCAGAAATTTCAAGTGAATTGGAGGTTTCCTTGAGGGTGTCCCCAGGATCCGGGGTCGATTGTCCCTTTGACGCTCCGGACATCAACCTCCCAACCTGCACTGCCCCAATCCACGAACACTCGGGGCGAACAGCTTTTATAGCATATTGATGACTCATGAGAATGAGACTGTTGATGGCAATTGCAGCGGGCCTGAACACAGCAAACCCTAAACCCTAAACCCCAAACCCCAAAACCCAAACCCTAAACCCTAAACCATCGCTGTGGTGGACATGATAGCACGAAAAGGAATGCGTCGCCAATTTCAGTCTCAGCAGTCGTCACCGGCTCCGGTGCTAGCAAACTAAATGCTCTAAACTCAGAACCCCTACCTAGCCCTCCAGGTACCTACAATATAGGGCCTTGGGGGCTCTAGTACCCTCTATAGTAGGCACCTGGAGGGTTAGGGCTAAACTTGAAGGCCTAAGGCTGCGCAAGGTAGAGAAGTGCAGCTGTCAGCTCAGCCGTTTGACTTGTAGGGTTCTTCGTGGCGCGCCTAAACATCAAACTCGTCCGGCTGTTCACCTGACGGTGGTTTGGAAGCTTCAGGATCGAGCTCTTGCTTCGAAGTTCCTTGTTGTGTTCACTTTAGGGCTTAGCTGGACCCTAAAGAAAGTACCTGTTAAGGTTCCTTACCATGATCTCCTGGTAAAAAAATCTTCAAGAAGTAGGTTATTTAGGGTCCCGGTAGGGTTTGGGGGTGAGGGTTTTTAAGGGTTTAGAGCTGAGTTTTGAACAATAACCTAACTTTGCAGGAGCTAATTATCCCTAAACCCTAAACCCTAAACCGTAACCCTAAAACAGTCAGCTTATTGATGGTTTTGGGGACAAAGCGAGCCTGAATCCCAGAACCCTGAACGCAGAGCCTTGGGGTGAGCCTTACGCGGTTAAGAGCGTGCAAGACCTTGCGCACTTAGGGCTTGAGGCCTATAGGGTTTAGGGTTTGAAATAAGAAAAATGATAATCCCTAATTAAACCCTGAACCCGATAACATGGGACAGATGTTGGCGGCTTTTCACTCGGTCCCTTAGGGATTCTGCAACGAAGGGTACAGGACTCATGACTTCGGCCATTGGGATTAGGATTCAGGTCAGGGTTCGCGGCTTAGGGTTTAGGGTTTCGGGTTTCGGGGTTTTGGGGTTTAGGGGTTTAGGGTTTAGGTAGCGTTGAGGCATTTAGGGTTGTCAATCGATGCCTCTTACTTGGCTTCGGCGATCACAGAGTTTTAAGGTATCGCCACGCATGGCTGCCACTCCTCTACGGTGGTTGTTGTCTAAACCCTAAACCCTAAACTCATAAACCCTAAACCCTAAACCCCTAAACCCTAAACCCTGGGAGGCGTGGAGTGGCGGTTATTTACAGATTTTGCACTTGGCTTCCTGGATGTCGTCAAGGTTTGGAGGCGCAGGGCCCAGGGCCCAGGGCCTAGGGTGATTAGGATGATTAGGGCCGTTCAGAGTTTAGGGTTCAGGGTTTAGGGTTCAGGGTCCGCAGATTGCGACTTGGTGTCAACTCCTAAAGTACCGAGGACATGCAAGCAACGCCCCCCAGGACACAGCTCCGGAAGTAAGGGCAGACACGTTGAGCGAACCCCCGTGCAGTTCATGGCATTTAGGTTCAGTTCCTCCCGCAGCATTTTTCTCCTGAGGCGTGGGCACAGCAGTTGCCGACGATGCACCTGGGAGAAAGGGGGGGGGCCTTGGCAGTCGTGGTTACAGAATAGCCACGTAATCTTGACGCCGCAGAACGACCTCTGCAATGATGTCAACGCAGGGTCCTCGTCACGAACAAAAAAACACCCGCTACCAACGATTTAAGCATGACAGTTAGTTGGAACAAAAACTTGCACCGCAACCCTCGATCTGATTAAACCACAAACATTACAAGTTGTATAAAGCAAAGCAGAAGTTCCCAAGCAAATCTCCAGCAGGAAACCCTGTAATGAACCTTTACCCCTACGAAAACCCTAAACCCCAAAATCCGATCTTGAAACAATGCCAGACAAGCCGAGCTGCCGTTTACATTCTCGTTGTTTGGCGCATGCAGCCCTGGCAGTCTTGAGGCTGAGGTCTGATATGGAATTATAGGGTTTATAGGGTTTCAGGGTTTAGGGGTTTAGGGTTTAAGGAACTTACGGATTTAGGGTCCGCCAGCGCAGCTTGGCGCCCAGGCAAACTCATCGCCGAAACACTGTTTTGAAAACTCTATATGGGGGTCGACCCCGCCGCAAATCGGTGTTCGATACTGTGAGCGGGCAGGGGGGTGGGGGTTTGTTGAGTTTTAAAGCTAGGCTGTGGAGATTATAGTGGGGTTTAGGGTCTACGCTTACGAAAGCTTTTGGGTTGAGGGTTTAGGGCTT